TTCAAATTATATGCAAATCGTCATGATTATCAACTTTACTTACTATGCAAAGACTGATTTGCATATAAAAAAATAATATTTTATATATGGCTACAATTAATAAATTAGTTGATTATTAAAAAGCCGGTGACTTTTGTCAGGGGAGTGTACGTCTATATTACCAGTTACGTGATATTCGGTACATGCAAATCACGTGATTTGGTACGTCCGACCTCACGAAGGCACGTTTTGATTGAGGACGCCCCATATAGTCAATCGGAACTGATCATTTTGTCAAAAAAGCATATATTATTTTAAAAATTTTTGGCATTCCATAATAGCAATCATATAGAAATGTCAGGGGCAAAAAGGGTTGAGACTGTTTATTTACAGAATAAAGCATTTACATCACCCAACATTTGTAATTCAATATATGATAGTTCTATAATCTATTGAGCTTCAGTACTTTGTTTCACTTTTTTTTTTTGTAACAGTTCTCTCGTCATCCAATGAAAGATCGCGTTTCAATAATTCTGAAGTTGCTTCGTAGTATTGATTAAAATGATTGTTAGTACGATGATACCCATTTGTAACTACCGAATTCTGGAATATTAATGATGGATTAATTTCAAAAAATTATTAAACATAATAAAATTAAAAAATTATACCATCGCTATTTTTAATTTTCTTACTGCGATCTTTAATTAGATTCAGTTTTTGTTAATTTTCTTTTTATACCGGATTTTCGTAGTTTCTGACAATTCTGGAATGCACCAGGTTAGTAACCAGGAACACATCCGATGATTCTTGCATTTTAGTGACCATGGAATACATCCCATGCTTAATGCACTCAGCATGGAGAAAGCTCTCATACAATCAGTACAGGTATTATCTCCCACTAAAGCACAATGGACACGAAAATCACCAGAAGAGTCAAACATCACGTTCAGACTAATCCGTATTCAAGGTATCACCTCTTCAACAAGTACGCAGCTTGGCATAGATAATCGGTCTTCAGGCTATTTAGTAAATAACTTTACCTTCAGTTGTCCTTCCAAATGTATGAGACGTAGCTGTGCGGGATGATCACTTTTAAATAATTTTTGTAAGGCTCTGATCTCCGTTATGAAATGCGTTCTTTTTTAACATCTCGTAAGTATTCCGAAAATTCGCGGAGACTCGGCCAATCATTGGTTCCAAAGTTCTGCACAAATATGAAAATGGAATAATAAGTAAATAAATATCATAGTAATAAATTGCATTTGCAATCTTATCGTAGTATCGAAGAAATAGAGAGGCGTTTAAGAACTTTTCAAAATTTTGGCGTCAGTTGATTTAATATCCCGCACGTGCATAATTTATAACCGAGTTTCTTATCAGTTATATGCTGTATACTGGTGACAATCTACGCGTAAAATTGCAATTCTTGATTTAACGAAGGAGGATAAAAAGTCTCTACGCGTCCTCTTTACCACAAGGCAGTGAATAAAATTTGATGTGCGCATGTGCGCTCCGCACATAGAAATTTTTTTCGCGCACAAAAAAAATATAATGCTGTACACAACTTTTTAATAATTATTTAAAATAATGTGCGCTATACGGTTAGCCTTGTTCTACTGTATCGAACTTTGCACACATTGAATCTAAAATTTGGTGTTGCGCACCAAATTTTGACTTTGAATTTTATTCCCTGCCACAAGGCCTTTCGTAAAAATTGAAGCAGAAGAAATTATTTCTACATGTGAGAACGATGAAGAGGTACTTGATTATTTGAATGAACTTCTAAAGCATGGTACAGTAAAGTATTAAACAATGCCTTCATTTTTGTCCACTTACCCGTTAATAATAACGTGGTTTGTTTTTCTGTTTTATCGTCAAAAAAACAATATTCATAGAACCTATTACCACCAGTAGGCTTAATTTTTGATAGCCGTTTCTTTGCTGTCACAATGTCATAATTTATTAATAATAATATTGAATATTTCTAACATACACAGTTCAACAATCATAGCCTTCTCAAAATGTTGATGATGTCTTTGCAGATTCAATAATTAACGAGCAATCAATTTCTCCATCTTCGTCAGACAACACCTAGCAACCATCACATACTGTCCAGCAATCATCTCAAGATGTCACTGTTGTCGTGGATCCAGTAGATAACGAACTGTTGATTTCATGTGACACACACTTACCCGAAAAAAGGAAGAGGAAATAAAAAATCTCAAAAAAGATTTAACTTCGATGGTACGTTTAAGTCTAGAAATTTCTTGTAACCTCAGATGTAATTTAAATTAATTTTTTTTTTCAAAAAAAGGTAATCGCATACAGGGACATTCTCCTATACAAATTACCAATCAAATTTCAAGAGTAACCTGGGCCTGTTCTTAATATATTCTTATAATCCTTGCTGTTTATTAAACTTTGTTGAAAGTATTATTTCTTACTCGCGTCAATAATTTAATAATTTTCTACAGGGGGATCCGGGTCGTGATGGCCGGAATGCGTCGTGGTTAGGGTCGGGGTTAGGACTGAGTTAGGGTTAGCGGGAGCTATAGGCTATAGTAAAATTATCAGCTGGGCACTTTTCACTTAATGAACGACTATTGTTTCATTACTAAAATTCTTAGTGATCTTGGGGCAAAATCGATCAACTCCGGCCCTTCCGGCAAGAGTTCCGAAGTGTCCGACCCGGAATTTTGGGGATCTCCCTGTAGGAGTTCGTCAATATTGCAATAACGATTATTCACAAATCAAGATAGTTACCGGTATTTAAGTAAGTTATTTAATATAGGTATTTAATTTGTACTATTCTGCGTTGTTTTAATAAATAGATGTCAATAAATAAGCAATAAAGACAGCCGGCTTAATGCTCCTTATTACCATCATATTGCGTTTGCACGTTCAGAATATTATACTTTGAAAATCGAGACATTTAAGCTATTTATATACTTTTATTTAATTCTATGTATCGATTTAGTTAAGTATACCGTATTTCATAATCTAAAGTCCCATTTCTTGTAGAATACTTACCTGCTCTTACTTGGATATTTAATTGTAATAATTCCACGGCCCTAATGTTTCCCTTCTGATGATATTTTTATGATGACGTAATGTCGTGAAAATATCAAAAATTATTCACGGACCTACGTCATCAGTAAAAATTTTAATCAGAAATGCTACGGGCATAGGAACCGTGAAATATATCAGATACTCCATGTGCCGTGCTAATTCACAACAGCTCGTAAAATATCTATCACATATTCTTATTTATCGTTTAAGCATAATATATATTATATTAAAATATAATATAAAATTTTTATCATTATAATATTAAGATGCCTAGATATAAGACGATTAATATTCTACAAGAGGGAATGTGGATGTTTTGCCCGTAGCTTCAGAGCTTTTTCTCACGCCAAATCTACATTATGTTATTATAAATTGGAAGTCAAGCAATAAAAATACTTACTAGTTTCCGACTGCCAGTTAATGAAAAATGTTGGGATAAAGATCTGAAAATTATTTGTGTGCTAAGTAGAACAAAAATTTGAGTGAATTTAAAAATTTTGTTATAACTGATACTGAAATTGTCTGAACAAATTTTATAATTTGACCATATTCAAATTAGCTCTATTATATTTTTAATTACAAGCACAGTTTTTTGAATTTTATTTAACTGTAATTTCCAAAAAGTAATATGTATTTACAACTTTATTATATAATTGTTTAATTGAACTTGATTGGTTAATATTACCCCATATATTAATATTATTATTCATTCTACGTAGTGAGATTATTCTATCTTTTAACCAATAAAATATTGGGACTTTCCGCCAACAACAATTAAGTAAATAATTGCCTCATTAGTTCATTTCTAAATCATTGAATAATTGAATACGTAACATTAGTTATATCCATTTATACATTAAATAAACAACTTCAATATCTTTAACCAAAATTTGAATATCTTACCTTCGTTTGAAATCATCTACCAACTCGTCTAACCCAAATACATTTGATGATTGATCAATTTCTTCTTTGTAACCAAATTGATTTTCATTATTTCCCGTAGAATTTCTTTTATGAATTTAACTTATTAATAAAATTAAAATAAAATTCGACTGGAGGATAAAAATCTTACTTTGCAGACATTCCTTCAATCGTTAACATTAAGCTATTGGTTGTAGAGGATTCTTTACCGCCAGGACCCATCGTGTTCATCTGCGGTGTTGAGCTGATTTTATAATTTGATACTTGAAAAGTATGACTAAAAGAGTAACAATCGGCTACACTTTCACCATCTTCTTTAAGGTTTACTAGAATACACCTCTCTTTGGGTGCATCTAAGGGGAAAGGCTCGTCTTCAAAAACATAATGTACGATTGGATGTTTCCATGACTGTTGCATTTGGTCGTGAATCACGACAAACTGTGGTACAGTAGAAGGTCCAGGCTGTGTTGTAGAAGTTATAGGAGACTGTTGCATATTATGTTAATATATATTATATTACAGTAATAGGTATGAACAACTTTAAAATTAGTTTTCTGATCTATATTATATCGATATTGGGGTGGTCGAAAAAAGGGACAGGTGTTTCCATTTGTTTCCATTTCATATAAATTACCAAATACAGAGGATCGCTAAAATAGGGTTAGCCCAAGTTACATTTCTGATGCGTTAAGAGGTACTTTTTTGATGTTTCTATTTTTATTTAGATATCAAAAATTCAAGAATACATTTTATGCCTTTATGCAGTGTGTAGAAATTGTATGTAGAATGTAGATCAACATATTGTGTACTATATATATATATATATATATATATAACAAATTAACAAATTTGATATACCGATACACATTCCCGCTGCAACGTATTTCTTTTTTAAAAAACATGAATAATAACGGAACTTCAGATCCAACTTCAGATCAAATTTCAGAACGATGTGTTGTAAAAGAAGCTTTTGCAAACCATCTTAGTACTCAATCTTCATTTTCTTCTCATTCTTCACATACTTCACATTCTAATTACACACATCAACGACCAAACCAACAGTCACCGGTATTAATGGCTCCAAAACGCAGAAAGGCTTTATTAATCGGAATTAATTATTTTAAGACAAAGTTTGAATTGAAAGGTACAGTACAAATAATTTAACCATTCGATCAGAATTTTGTATACAAGTAATTTCTGATCCATTAATTCAATCATATATATATATATTTAAAAAAGGGTGTTTAAATGACGTTGCCAATATTAAAGCGTTCTTGGTTGATTTATATGGTTTTCCAGAAGATAAAGATCATATGTTAATTTTAACAGATGACCCTAGACAAAAAGACCCAACAAAGATTCCTACCAAAGCAAATATCCTGAATGGAATGAAATGGCTCGTAAAAGATGCCCAGCCGGGTGACTCGTAAGTTTGTCAACAAACTCCAAGTATATTTTTAGAGTATGCTAAAAATGACAATAAACTTTTTGCTTGTAAAGGCTCTTTTTTCATTATAGCGGACACGGAGGGCAAGAAAAAGATCTCGATGGTGACGAAATAGACGGGTATGATGAGACTATTATGCCACTCGATTTTGAAAAAAAAGGACAAATCATTGATGATGTAAGTTTTGGTCTTGCTTTTTTTTTCTGATTTTTTAACTAGCAATATATTCAATTTCTTATGTATTCTAGGTAATGCATAATATCATGGTTCGTCCACTACCAGCTGGTAATATATTCTTGCTTTTTTTTTTTTTGTTTCTCTACAGAAGAAATGCAATTTGAAACATGAAATGTCAATTTTGACTTAACATTCGTTTATGATTTGCAATTTATTTCTATAGGCGCAAAACTAACGGCAATTTTTGATTCATGCCATTCTGGAACTGCTCTTGATTTGCCATTTATATACTCCACAGGCGGAATAGAAAAGAAATTAAATATTTTTTGTGAAGGAACACACGCAATTGTGGATGCCAGTTTATCATATTTACGAGGTGATGCTGAAGGTATAAAAACAACTTTCAAATCATTTACCGTAAAAGCTATGCATGGGCAGGAAATAGAGGAGAAAATTAAAATAACCAATTATAGTGCTGCAGATGTTATCATGTTTAGCGGGTAAGTGGCCGGATTGTTATCTTTCAATACTATCCTATTTCTCACTGTATTTATGTTTAGATGTAAAGATACCCAAACATCTGCAGACATTAAAGAAGCAGGTCAATCTACAGGTGCAATGTCTTACGCCTTTATTAAAACGTATGTATTTATAATACTACTAGTTATAAGTGAGTCTGCCAAGGGAAAATGAGATTTTTAATTTTCAATTTAATCATTAACATATGGGGTCTTTGCCTTGAAAATGACCTTACGGTATCATGTACCGTAAGGTCATTTTCAAGGCAAAGACCCCATATATGACACATAATTATATTACATATATCACTAATCAGATTTTTTCAATGATAAACTTGAAAATCTCATTTTCCATTGGCTTCACTCTAATAAGGATGTCAGCAGTTACGGTTATTACCGATTAATCGTAACTGATGCTTGTCGATCGACCGGTTAACAATCTAACCGATATTTATTTAAGTGATTAATTTAATAGTATGCATTCCATTCATCATATAAGGTGTTGATATCATTAAAGGATGAATAGCTGAATCTAGTTTACGAATTTATGTTCGTTTGAACTCGAATCAGTTTCATTTTAATCAAAAATGAAATTACTTGATCCTGATTCAGGTCACCTAAATTTGGTTCAGGTTCAAGCGGACCAAGTTTTTGGCTCACTTGAACCTGATTATTTAAACCCGATTTAGATTTGTTTGAAATCAGTTCGGGTTCACTGAGCTATTTGATAAATTTTATTTCAACTATAGATGTACCATTTAACAATCTTAGTATTACCAAAAATTAATTGACAATTAGTATAATCTCATTTTTTGAATATCAACACCTGGGAATTTTACTATTCAACCTTATGTCTTTGGTTGGTTAAGTAGAGATCCAAACAGTCGGTCGGTTATTATCTACCGTGCCCATGAGTGGTAACTGGACCATTACCGACTGTTGGCATCCCTAGTTATAAATTTTATCCCTAAATATATCCAATACTGCAAACAACTACCTAGATTATCTAATAATGCAATCATATTAATAGATTGAAGGCGAAAAAGAATCAGACGTATCAAGAGCTACTGAATAATATCAGGGATATCCTTTCGCTCAAGTATACACAGAAACCGCAACTTAGCGCGTAAGTCACGAAATGATTATGTGTCGAATATAATATTTTGATCACTAATCTTACATTTATTACTTTTTAATTAGATCGCACGAAACAGATATGAATTTGCCATTTTATATGTAGCAGAATTAAGAGGTTAATAATGCACGACACTTAAAAACTAAATTGATCACATTGCTTTACAAAAAATGGACTTTATATGACTTAAATGTCAAATATAGATGCGGTATAAACTATTACGGCTTATGCCGTGACTAGTCACGATATAAGCTTTAGCTAGTTACGGCTTAAGTCGCAACCGTTTCTACCATGTCTCTAGTGTCAAGCATTAGGCCATGAGAAATTTTATTTTTGGTATTTGTTTAATTCAATCATCGTATCCTACTATAGTTTCATCCATGTGATGTAATTAGACTGCAACAATCATTAATCATGTATTACCATTTATCATTATATAAAGAAATACATAATTTAGACCAAATTATTTTAACAACCATAATTATAAATAAATGCCTTTTGCTCTTCTCAAATTATGACTGTTACAATGGGAAAACGACCCGAACATTTTCGATCGTTTTAGAGCAATTTTTGGCCTGTGACTAGGGCCACCACTAATTTCTTATTTATGCGAAATTATTGATAAATTATTTTATAATTCTACGATTTTTCAAAATTATGCTGCACGCTGTAAGTTTTGCGAAATTTTATTGATTTGATACAAATCTATATACAACATACACAAAATTTTCACAAATAAAAGGGGAATTTACAAATACGGGTCCAAATTAAAAATAATTACAAGGGCCTAATTTTTTAAAAATATTACATATAAGGGCCTAAATCTATTGATGGCTGATCACAGGAGTATCGCAGGCTTATAACGATAGCAAAATCGCGATTATAGGATTATCGATTGTTTTATTATAGACATTTAGTTATCTATATACTGATTATTAGATAAAAGGATAATTTTCGCACAATTATTCATAAGGCGAAGTTTCAACAGAGTAGCTCTCTAAAGCTGAACGAACATCTTCTAAATTAGTAAATGTCATGCCAATTCGCAATGTTTACTTGGCATCATAGTAGTTTGTTATAACAATAAGCAATTTCATACAAATTTATTAAATTTAAAAAATTTTCTTTTCAATTGATCGTTACATTTTTTATGTGATGCTTACGTTTCTTATAATAACGATCAAGCCACAGGTTTGGGCCCTTATATGTAATATTTATTAAAAACTAGGCCCTTATATGTAATTATTTTTAATTTGGGCCCGTATTTGAAATTATTTTCACTTTCCGGGCCCTTATTTGTAAATTCCCCTAAAATAAATTATTTTTCTTTTATATAATAGTAAATGTAGGTCGTATAACTATTTATTATATCTCATCGAGCCACCCAAATTATATCATTGCTAATAATTGAGGAGTCACACAACTTTCTAATATTATGATTAGAGATATCTATATGCCTAACTTAGCATGATAATATGAACGAAATATTATTAGTCCGGAACAAAGCCGAGGATATAATCATAATTTACACCGGACACATAATGTTATGCATTTACTTAGTTTATTGGCATACTGTATAGATATAATTTTGCGTATTACTTTTTTTGCATTAATATAAATGCCTATCCCGATGGAACAAAAAGAATTGGTTTATTTAATTATTGTCAAAAACGTTTACGTTCGACAAATCACTGACACGATATCGATATATAATTAATATATACTATCTGCTACCGGGTAGGCCTCACCCGGGTCACCCGCGGGTGAGCGGGTGACCCGGTTTGAAATTATAGCCACCCGGGTAGTCAACCCGCGGGTCACCCGTGGGTCAACCCTCGGGTTACCCGTTGGTTGACCCACGGGTCATATAGCGATAGCAATTAATCATAGCTGCCGCAACAAAATTGTCACGGCAGATTCTCGATTTTGGCTAACGGCCGTGGTCTGCAAAATTTTTGGCCCGCATTACAAAATTGGTTACTAATTTCCGGCCGGAATTAACCTTTTGTTTTTCATTACAAAAATAGAAAATTTTAAAAAACAAGGCCGCACTATGGCAAATTTGGCTCGGGAACAATTTTCACTTACAGCTGTTTTCATAAATTTCGGGACAACTGTTAAAAATTATTTAGGCCGAATTCGATAAATTTTTGAATTCGGTGTTATCGGAATTTGATTTCGGCGAATTCAACATATGGGCGGAAATTTTTAGTGGATTGCTGTGACTATATAAAATTAAGTGATTATAATCATAAAAACTGATAAGTAACAGATCAATTTTGATAAGTAATGGATCATTTTGGATCATTCTGGGTTATTTTTAGCTAATCTGTTCGGTATACTGCTCATAAAAACTGATAAGTAACTGATAAGTAACTCATAAGCAGTTTTACAATCACCGACAAATAATCACTTTAAATATTAGTAATCCCACTGTATCATATATATTATTGGCTCAAATCCTATTTAATCTCATCTTCAACTTAAATAATCACAAACTTGAAGATTTCCGCCCATATGATTAGCCGAAAAAAATTTTCGGCCGGTAATTTTTTAATTTTTTCAGCATAATAAATTCAATAAAAATTGATATAATATATATGTAATTTAAAATCAGGTGGCTAATATAAATAAAAAATTACACACATCTCTTGTTGAATTCAAAAAATATGATATTTTTAAACAACATTTGCTGGCAAATTATTGAAAAAAATTTAAAAGGCCTTTCAACTCGAAAAGTCGAAACCCCAAATTCTTCTGACGAAAGATGAAACCTTAAACTTAAAATGGCGAAACCTTACACTCAAAAAAAAAAAAAAAAAAAGAAATGTTATTTTCTTTGAATTAACATTAATAATATTCAGAGATCAGTATCCGAAATTATGCAAAAATAAACCAGTTCATTTTTTCTGGACAATGCTAGGGTTGTTATAGACCGGTTGAAATAGCCTTGTCAAAAAACCATAGTACAGTCAGTACTCATGAAATAACACAAATAATGAATTAAAACATACTAACAAAATAAATTTGTAATATCACAAATAAGCACAAAGCGATTTTTCATTCGAACTGATATGTATAATATAATATAGAATACTCATTTCTAACTCCCTTCAAACAATTCAAGCGCCTATTATTTTTTGTAATTTTTATAAATTTCTATAATCTTCAATGTTTTTCAACATTTATTTGTATATTCGTCTTTTATTAATTTTGTCACCCTTTATAGTTTCGTTATTTAAAATTTTAATTGACGCGAGGTTTCGTCTAACAACTATATAAACGATGTCTATAAATACATATTTCTTATCAATATACACATTGGAATACATATTTCAACCCTAATACTATTTTCATTCTAATCGCTACTCAAATTGATAATAAAAAAAATATCACAAGCTTATCAAGAAAATGAAGAATTACTACGAAAAAAGAATATAGTTACGCGACCAGATTAGTAAGATAGTATGACAAGATCAACAAAACTCAGGTAAACCACATAAGGACACGAAGTAAAAATGATCACTAACAACGTAACGATTCTTGATCCGAATGGTTAATGATATGCACGTTTAATCAGTTAACACCAGGGTTGGCAATAGAGCTCAATGGAACCCAATGGAATTGCGACTGGAGCCAATGGAGCTCTGAATGGAGCCAATGGATACTAGTTTTTTGAGCCCCATTCACGTAACAATTTAACTCCATTGGCTTCATTGCTAACACTAACACATTTCGATCCATTGATTAAGAAAAACTTTTAGGGTGTTCTCAGGCGCCTTAATCAATGGGGTAAAAAGCGTCGGGAAATAAAATTTATTTAGCGGAAAATAGTTTAAATTAATCAAGCGT